GAAGGGGGAGGGGGAGGAGAGGGTCGTAAATAGTGAAATGGGATTCGAGCAGGGGGACCCTCCATCATTTCCGAAATTCTTGCCGCGGTTGAGCCGGCGAGCTGGCCCAGAGGATCCCCGCGGAGCACACGCGAGCCCGGCCCATGGCCCGGCCCGGCTGCACCCCGGGGAAGTCCCACTTAGGGGACATTAGGGCGCGCTCCCGCCGGCAGGGAGGCTGCAGCACGACGCGACACGTCAGCCCGTCTCAACCCGCGCCGCTTCAACTACTACGCATCTGACCAGTGAGAGGGACGCTTTCGGACCAAATCCATAGCAAGGGGAAGGAAGGAAACGAAAGCAAACCGAGGGTCCTTTGTCCTCGAGGAAAGATTCGGCAAGTGATGAGGACGAAGGGACTGCAAAGGGAGCGGGAAAGAGGAAAAGGGGATGAAGGAAAGCGAGGCAAAGAAAGGGAAAAGACCAGGAAGGTGGGGGAAAAGGACAAGCGCAGATTGCCCCACTACGCTCCGCCCCGCCATACGCCCCACGCTGTCAAGCGCTGCCCCCGCCCCGCCCCGCCCCGCCACGCCCCTGAAGAACAGAGGCTGAGGCAGTTGGCTTTAACGGCCTGACTGACTGTTTTGTTGCATTCCGTCCTGCCCGGCCCGCGCAGGCCGGCCGGCAGCGGAGCGCAGCGCTGCACCAAGCAGAGGAGAGCATCCTTCTCCCTGGGATTCCCCTGATACCCTTTAATTTACACACATATATTTGAAAAATGAAAAAACACAACACACACATAGAGAGATGAAACAGATCACTATCCGTTTTGCGGGACATGAATCACTCTTCCACTATTAATCTAAAGACCTGATGGCGAGGCCGCAGCTCAGATGATCCCCCCCCCCCCCCCCCTCCTCTAACACACAGCGCAGGGAGGGGTCAGTAGGCTGGCACTGATGGCAGCCAGCAGAGAAGAAATGACCAAGGACCGCCCCCCCTCAAAACACACACACAGTCACACTCCTGTCCCTCTTAGTGACGACACGCGGGGCGAGTCCATCCCAACTGAAATACTCACGGACGCGCACACACGGAGGGGTGGACGTAAACACACATACAAATACAGGCCCCGCTCGCTGTTTCCATTTCCCCACCCCGACAAGCGGACACACACACACACACGTACAATGGGAAGGGAGGGGTTTAAAAATGGAGCAGTGGGGTACGGACGGACCTTGGCGCCATACGGCCCTACTCACACACACGTACACACACGCGGGGCCTAAGTGCCGCCCGCGCGGGGAGGACGGCTCGCCTTCCAACCCTCATTTTCGCTTTTCCACATCGAATGTAGAGCGCGCGCGTTCCCCTCCTCGGTCCGTTTGAAAACATCATCTCCTTTTCACTTCACCCCTTCAACCCCCGCACCCATCCTATCCGACGCCTACCTCAAAATGAAAAGGGGGGGGGGGGGATGCCCATGTAAAAAATTTGCACATGTAAGTATGGTGTGAGTAGGTCAAGGCGCAAGGTGCGAAACAAGAACGGACAATGGACAATTAATGCACACGACAGAGAGAACACGAAAGAAATTCCTTAGTTTGGACTCACTTGTTGTGCAGCACCCGGAGGCTCTTCGGCGACATGCAGTTGACGGACCACTCGGTGTTGCCGTGGTCGTTGCAGATGGTGATGGAGAAGCGTCCGTAGTTGGCCCTGATGAGGTGGATCTGCTCGCCCGGCCGGCAGGCGATGGTCAGCGTCTTGCCCTCGCACGCGTACGCCGTGTCGTAGCGCGGTTGTTCTGCAAGGGGACAGAGAGGCGGCTGTTAACATCGACGCAATCAGATGCACGCTTGGTGACAATGCTCAGGACTTCACAGGAAAAGAGAAACATGTTCAAAGATGTTACGGGGAAATTTGCAGAAAGTCTCAGGTAACTTGACATCTACGTATCAAAGCCAGACGTTTATGCTACGAACTTAAATATCATGCATCGAGACAGACGGTAAAGGGTAAGTCTGGCAAAGTCGTCTAAACAGTCCGAAGAACATACATGCTGGACTGATTCCTCTTCCCGGAACACACCTCGCACAGGGCTCCGGCAACTCCATTATCGCGCGATAAAGCGCTCGGGTTCCGCTACGCAACGCATGTCGTCCGCAAAAGATGATTCCCATGGCGTTTTACTCTCCGCCGCCGGTACAAAGTACTCCGAGTGGCGCCCATTGAGCGGGCCGCATTCCCATCATACATGCGTAATCAGGCATGGGCACGCATAAAAACAGCCCGACCTCTAATTTCATGTCGGATAGGAAAACACACACGGCGAGAGATACGCGCGAATAGAGCTGCTGGGCGAGGAGCAGGCCAACCGGGAATGCAGCCGGCAAGATAAGGGCCGTGCTGCACCGCGTGGTTTGGCAGACAAGACCTCGGACAAGGCTTTGCACAGGCGGGTTCAAGTCAAAGTACTGCCGAGTGCCGAATGAAGAAAGACGCGGAGCAGCAGGATGCAGCCGCAAACCAGCACTGCCAACTGCCACCAGAAGTTTTGCGGACCTGTGAGGTGTAGCCAATGCAAGCCTCGTATATGACAAGCGGTCTTCATTACGACGTGGGCCCCGGCCGGCGTGGCGGGGCGTGGCGGGGCGTGGCGGGGCGGGGCGGG